TTAAAGCATGGTTGTAGCAAGATTCATTTATTGCACACAGGTATTAAGACAGTCTAAATGTATTGTTTAGTATATAGTATATACTACTATGACCATAAAGTCTCAATTGGCTTAGAATCACTTCGAACCCAAAATTGTCCATTTAGTTATTCTTAATAGAATGAAAATTAAATACTACAATTCAGGTAATTGTTGAAGCTTATTTGAGATCATTATAGAATCAATTTAAACTTAACGCATTGTAGCAATTCTATTCCACCTACACAAACATTCACAAATGACATTGTTTAATTAGAATTTAAAGTCGTTATCTGATACCGGCAGCAAACGAGTATTTTCCTTAATGCTCTACGAACACGTAAGTTGTTTGTAAACAAAGGGAAAAACAAATAAATACACATGGAAAAGTTTACAATTCGAGATAAACTCAATGATATAATACTACTGTATCGTCTACGATAAAAGTTTTCAACATTACGCTTATTATTTATCCATGTTTCTTAACAACCTATATAATCTCTTTGAAACGAACTATAGTTATAATATTAAAGAGCAATACAAGTAATTTTTACTTGACGTAATTACGATAAATAATTCGTCATAAAGGTGTGATATTTCATGAAAAAGGATCTAAAACATAATCCATAAACCACAAGAAATACAATTTAACATATGGTGTGAAACTGGATATTTCCCAGGTGATATAAGTGAATATCAAGGTCGCAGTATCCCGGCCGGACATTGTTATCGATCAGTTCTGAGCGCAGTCGGGACAAATGCGCTGTGCACCAGTATATCCTGCACCTTGCGTGATTGAAATAGTATACGACAATATATTATAGCTTTATTGAACTAGAAACACTACTAAATATAAGGAACTGAGATTCCTGCATTTAACATATGGACTCTAAGTGACCAATTACCTGTAAATGGTATAAATATTGTTTGATCGTCATACGATTATATTGACCCACATCTATACTCTATACTAATATTATAAAGAGAAAAGAATTGTATTTTTGTATCGAAATAACTCAAAAACTAATGGGCCGATTAAAAAAAATTCCATCATTAAAAAGCTACGTTATCAGTGAGTATCATGGGCTATATTTTTAATTATTTTTTTTTAAATAGAACACGGGCCAATTCGCGAGCAAATACTAGTTTGTTATAGATATAAGTTTAGTAGAAATTGTTTACAACTTATTTAAAAGTTAAAACATTCCATTCATGTCTAGAACTCATTTAATTAGCATTTACATACAAACAAAGATATCTTATTTGTATATAAACTTCAATGCGTATTTGTGTATCCACGGCGCAGTATGCAGTTTAGCTAATCTATTCCATAGCACAGGTATCCTTGAAGCTGCATTGTTTGCAGCCAACACTTGTTAACAAAACGTCCGCTGCATTCGTTTGAGACACGCGACGGGCATGACGTAAGAACAAATATAAACATTTATGCAAGCAAACTTCGATGGAATGAAAAGTATGGAATATTTTTGAACAAACTCAATGCCACTACGATTTTCAAGTTAAATTTGCAGTCGAACGTATTTAATGTGTTAAAAATGTCTTTATCTGTTCATATAAATAGAAATATAAACTAAATCGAAATAATATACTAAAATTGATTAAATAAAACATAAAAACCACTTGAAAATTTCTCTCCTTAACGCTAATAAGCATTAACTTTGTAATAAAACATATCTACCAGCGACGTTTTTCCTAGAAAGAATATTTTTGCAAATATAAACTCAACAAGATTCGTTATTCCATGATTTATGTTTTTACTAGCTTCCGCCCGCGACTCAGTCTGCGCCTATGTGTTCTTCCAGACTATGCTCTACGTCTATACCAAATTTAATCTATATCCGTTCAGTCGTTTAGACTACAAACTCTAACAAACATCCATCTATCCATCCATAGAGCTGTACTCTCGCATTTGCAATATTAAGTAGTATAACTAGCATTAGTATATGAAGTATTATGATCGTTAGACTACGGAGATGATAAGTGGCGGAGTAAATTAAACGTGATACGCATTCTTATCATTGTTGTACTTTTAGCATAATCCTATGCAATACGGATGTTATTGTATGGATTGTAAACTCACTTGGTTACGTATTTCAAACGTAAATGGTAGATAGATTTTACATTATAATAGCTAATTAAATTTACAGAAATGAATGCGATTAAAAGTAAATACTAACATGATATATTTTTAAATTAAAACGCAAAATGGCAGAGATCTAATTGCTTTTAAACTAATGACAATAACCATTTGAATAACAAGTTTCTATTTATATATTTTCTAGATGATATAACACTTAATTATACCTAGCAGTTATCAGTTTCCTCGTAACTAAAGATATATATCTTTATCGCTGCGTTTTCGATCTTTCCGGATTAGGAGGTTAATAGCCTATAGGGTTTAAATTGCAATTGTTGGACACAGACCCGCTGATACAATATACATTCTTTGACAGTTCGCAGTTAAAAATTATTAGTGATAAGTGTAGCCTATGACACACAGTGGTAATGTAACTGGCAAGAAGTTTCAATATCAATCCAGTAGTGTATGAGTTCATTCATTACATACAAGAAATCATTTTTCGTTAAAAAAAATTGAACGTTTACAATTATTAAAATTATAAAATGTGTTTAACAACAACTATGAACCTAATAGAAGTATTTGAAACAGTACCTTACTAGACAGTAATCCTGCGGTGGGTGTCTTATCATTAGGGTCGGATTCCGGTATCTTTTCATTAGGGTTGTCGAGGTGGATGCCAGGCCAGCCCACCCAGATGCCTTTCCCGCGTATCACAACCGGCGCTACAGCGGTAACGAGACCGCCGGCGCTGCAAAATAATACACAAATTATTCCAGTGTTCTAATTTTAAATGTTTACTGGTGAAAAAATGTCAATGCTACAATGCACTTCGTAGATACTGCTACGTAGCACGCCGTAGCATCACCTCCTACGTAGCGCTACCTCCTACGCAGTAGTACCTCAATGTTTTGTATATTTGTGTCAGATGGCGAAATACAAGGTACCAGACCTTACGTTCAAATTAGTATTGGAATATTTGAATGATTCGGTAAAATTCTAAAATTTATTAATATTTTAAACAAATGCAAAAAAACAACCTTATTTCAAATCTTTATTGCTATGTAAAATAGAAACTATAAACAAACTGAGTCACTGCTTCGCAAATAGCAGGCGTCTATAAACAACCTTACTGTCCGTACCTACGACGTATATCGATTTATTTCTACAACAAAATAATTCACAGTTAGTAGTCAGTTATTTTCAGTAATTTAAAAAAGTATTAAAACGACAGATTTTACAGTTTTTTACTGATCGAAATTAACGTGAATGTGTTCTATTTTATTTTATTTTAGCATAATTAAGTACATGTAAAAATACTTAGTTTCTAAATATGGCACGTACGTTGGTGCTATAAATTACACTTCAGATTATCCATCCACTCGATTTAATGTCAGTGACAAGTATTTATATCGCGCCATTTTTATGATATAATGTTACTAGTTTTCACCCGCGACTCCGACAGCATGGAATTAAAAAAGGGAAAAATAAGTAACCTATGTGTTCTTCCAGACTATCCTCTACATCTATGCCAAATTTCATCGAGATCCGTTCAGCAGTTTAGGCTACAAACTCTAACAAACATTTAAATATCCATCTAAACTTTCGCATTTATAACAAGAAAAGCAAATATGATTATGATAAAAAGACTAGTTAGAAAGCTTATATACGTCAAATAATATTGTAAAAATCTTATAATAATAATTATTTAAATGTTAATCAAGTTCTGCAATGATTTACTGACCAACAATATTTTTTTTAAATAACCACTGCCACTTGTTTCAGTGTAAAACTCATTAACCCTGGTTTTATTTCGACGTTAAAATTACATAATTACCCGAAAATACCAGAACGTCCAACGCATAGTCATATGATATACAGCGTCAACAATAGAGAACCATTGTCACGTTGAATACGTGTTTTCGTTACCTTGGCACAAAACATGGATCATCTCGTTAACCGGGTAATTTCACTACTGAAGTGCCCGCATGCCGGCAGAACCGTAACAAATCATGTTTACGCACAAAACTATGATGTTTGAAATGGTGAAAATGGTATTCAAATAAAAGAAAAACGTCAGCCCGATGGGGAACAAATCATAAGGGCGGGAATACACATGACAGTAAAATGCAGCATGCCTGTTCCCAGGAATGTTCATGTCAAGTTTTGTTAGCCCTTTTCAACACTCCACTTACATTTCTAGATAATTTTAGGTAATGTCATCATTAAACCTATCACGCTTAAGGGAAATATTTTTCCCTTCTACAAAATCGTCATCTTTTATTCAATTATTATTGATACGATATTTATTTTAATTAATGTCAAAATAAGTCGTATGTCCAAGACGGCAAATGTGTTTCTGAACGATTAGAAAAACAAAGAACTGTCAAACTTTATTGCGCCAAAATCAAATGTAAAAAAAAAATCAATATTTAATCCTAGCCATGTTATGGTCCTGTAAGGATTAAAGACGGTAATACATATTAAAATGTCCTTTCATTATATTATAATAGCTCAGATTATAGTTAAATAGTTATTAAACAGCCTTAAGTAATAAAAACAAGATGGCTAACTAACAAGTTTGAACTGATCATAACTAACTAAAAGGCATTTGTAGAACATCTTAATTAATCTAATTGTGAACTACGTTTCATGATACAAAAGACCAGCTTTATACTCCGACTTTACTGCCGAGTTTGTCAACTATGAAAATATTCCATTGCGAGGAAACAACGTCTTTATTCATAATAAAATTATGATTTTGTTGCATAGCAATGAGATATTAAGGATAATTTGAACACGACTGTGCACACAATCTCACAGTATTTACGAACATAAACACAAAAAACTATCAAACCAAACTGTTTGCTTATAGAATTTGATGAAATTTTAAAACAAAAATGTGAATAGAATAGCAAGATACCATTATTTTATTTAAGGTTTTCTCAATGAAATATTCATTTAGAATAATATCAGGATTTAAATTATTTCCAAGGTTAAGCAATGTCAGTCGAAGTGCAGACATTGTGCAGAAGGGGAACAATTCTAGTGAGAATATGCGTCCCCTTTCGCGACCTGAGATGGTGCTTAAGGTCAGTTTGAAGGTCGTACGTGAGGAATAATTAAAATATGGAACAATAAAATGCGATTATAATTTGATACATTTGTTACCTCTGTTCTTTTTAAATAGAATGAGAGTCATGGCAAGTTGACAATATTAATTTGTGTAGCCAGTTGATAACAATAAAACTCTGCCAAGGAAATGAATTCTAAATCACATTAGTATGTTTAATTGAGGCGTATGAACAATTTTTAAGATTGATCGCGCTTTAACCTAAATATTTGAGATAAATATAAATTGCACTTAATTTACAAGAGTTGATAATAATTTTGTAAACGACAAAACAAATTATTACTTAATCATAACTTAGATGTTAGCAAAGAGTCGATAATATTTTAATGTCCATTCTAAAGGAAAACAAGTACATATGAAATACTAGCTTTCTCGAGCGACTTCGTCAACATGGAATTAAAGAAAAACGAAAGTAAGTAGCCTATGTATTCTTCCAAACTATCCTCTACATCTATACCAAATTACATCGAAATTCTTTCTGTCGTTTAGGCTACTAACTCTAACAAACACCCATCCATCTAAACTTTTGCATTTATAATATTAGTATGAATTATAAGTATAATTTTACAGTTGACAATATTTAGTGTGACATGTGTGTCATATGTGTATATAGTGGACAGTGGACACGGTACGATGTAAATTAGGATAAAATAATATCAGCGATTTTATAATTAAGAAATCTTGTCACAATCACGATGGCTATGCTGAAATGACACCGAATGAAGCATTTTTGTAAATATAACTAAATTCATCATTCCAATTAGAAAACATGCAAAAAACAATTATTTTATAGATATGATTAGTTAATTATAATTGTTGGTTAATTCGCATCAATAAAAGCAGCGATATTTATGGTTTATTTGTTGTTTTATCATAAAATTGTCTATCATTAAAAAATCAACAAAACATGAACGTATATGCGCTGCTATTCGACAAAGGTAATCAGAGTCTCGAATGTTATTATGGATTCGTAGAAATTTCCCGAACCTCTCCGAAATTCACCGGCAGGAGGCGCACTTGTACTAAAACGTGATCCTTCGAATATTTGATCGTTCTAATTTAACATTTATTATTAGATTCTAATAGGTTTTACGATTTTTATTCATATTTTTCAACTTTATAACAGAGAATATTAATATTATCTCCCATTATTGAATTATCTTGACATAAAAATATATTAGAATAATTACGTAATCGACGTAATTGTATCTAATTAGTATATTTTTATTTATTAAACTTAAGGTATAACAAAATAATTAAACTGACACAACAAAAACATCACAATTTTGAATAGCAATCTTTCGATATGAATGAAAATAGCAACATAAATACGACTATGGTAATATAAATAGAAACTTACCTGGCTTTTCTCTCTAATTCACCAGTTTTGTCATTTCTCTTTAACACAAAAGGCAGGCGATTCGACACAACAATCATGCTGCCCTTGCTATTGCACGTCGAGCGACTGACACAATTACTGGTTACACTCATGTTTTTTTTTCGGTACGTTCCTCTACACGTCCAATCACAGCGCAGTCCAAACGCATGCGCATACAAAGTGGTGGGATTTTTAAATTATTCGCTCTAAATTCACTGTCTTAGTGCTTTACGGTGTGACATTGCAAGTGATTATTTTATATTAAAAAAAAATCTCGTTTATTAACAAAGCATCATCGGCCGAGATCGAGTGCGGACTGTTTCTTTTGTGTGTCCCGGTCGGCTTTATAGATTACGCGAGACGCGTCGCAAAAGGGTCTCACTTGCGGCTGACGATGTCGGAGGTCTCAGCCGATGTGCAGGGGTTATCACTACTGCCTTGTGCCCGCTCGAGGCTTGTCTCGCATCTTATCCGTAACTCGCAATTTTTTTAAATGTGCGCGCGCTAGCTTTCACAGACTAATCCATTTAACAATACTATATTTTGTTACCTTCATAGATACATTTATGATAATTCTAGATATTTCCAATGCCTTATGAGAAGGCACATTCAAGTTAAGATAAAACGTTTTCCATTTAGACGTAGTCTTTTTCTGTGCTTGCAATTTTGCTTATTGCAACATTTGGCTCAATTAACTTATCTATGCCCTTGCCGATTTCTATCGGTCTTTTTCTAAAAGAAAAATCCGAATAACAATTAAGTTTTTTTCTACATATTAGTACGATTAACTTAAGTATGTATTACATAAAAAGATTTTAATTATTCTATTTTTGGAGTAATTTGCCAGTGATTGGCTACATAAGACTGTTATAGTGGTAGTCACTAAATATTACTAGGAACTTTTATTATTTACATTAATAATAAATGTTTATTGCACAATTTCTATACGTTTTTTCCATTCAATTCACTGAAATCCATTACTTTCCACATTTGTTTGTCCATTTCCAGACCTACTTTCTGTTTATTTTTGTTGTCGCAACGACAATGTTGTTACAACATCCACTTATGTAGCTCACACAGTAAAAAGCGTCCGTTTTATGGATACACCGTTTTTGTTTAATTTTGGCAAACTGAAATCGGTCTACAATTGGATATTATTTCAGTCGAATTTGTTAATTAGGTTAAATAATTAATCACTTGAAAGATTTGTTTATTATGATCTGTCATATTTAAAATTAAAAGATACGTAAAAAGTTAGAGGTCAAATAGAATGTTACGGGTTATAATTTAAAACCGTACAAAACTGAAACATCTAGACGGTTAACCTTGACATTGAGCCGAATAAACATTAGTGTATCGTGATAGATATTTTAGTGTTGAGTTTAGTATTTCCGCGATGCCCATTGAACCGTGTTCGTCAGACGCGAGGCGGCCATGGCATGCGCGTACGGCGTGCATCTAGCATGACGCACACGCATGTCTCTCATGACCGGCTAGCCTGACTCCCAGCCATTCAATGGAATATATTATCGAATACTCGAACAACCAAACTACGTAATGTAAACAATGTGATTGCGTAACTCATCCCAACTTGAACTTGACCTAAATCTGTTGATTTTTATGTTGTCAATAAAGTTATTGGAGATTAAAGAGATCTTATCAGATACTAGCAGTTGCCAGCGACTACGTCCGCGTGGTATTAAAAAAATACGAACTATATAAATAACAAAAAGCTGCGTATCCCTCGGGAACATTTCTCGGTTGATGAACCTTATTCCATGTGTACTCCAGACTTTGTTTCATATCTGTACCAAATTTCAATAAGATATGTTGAACCGTTGCAGAATGATCGAGTAAACATTAATAAACTAAATTAATGAATCCCACGGGAACCATAACTATTCCCGGGATCAAAAGTGGCCTAGCCTATGTATTCTTCCAGACTACGCTATATACCTGTGCCAAATTTCATGGAGATCCGTTCAGCCGTTTAGGCTACAAACGCTAACAAACTTCCATCCATCCATTGTAAATTTTGCATTTATAATATGAGTAAGGTGATTACTGTTATTATATATTGTACAATGGTGTAGCTACGAACGAGTAGGGGTGGGTCTACCTCCCCCTAGAGACTCGACTAATAATAAGTTAATCTAGATCGGTTCGATAGTTTAGTAATTGCCAAAAACTCTCAGAGCTTTTGTAAGTACTGAAAAATGGTTTTTGCACAACTTCATTCATTCACAACTAAGTCCGTAAGAAGTAAATTCTACCTATAATGTGTTTTTCTGTAATTTATGTCAGAACGTATTCACTAATTAATTGACCTATAAAACAGTTTATCTTAATCGACCAACTTACTAGGTTATCCTTAACTTTATTTTTGTATAACGCAGTATAAACGCGACACTGTTCCACGTGCCACTGTTTGCGATATTGATTTGTTGTTTATATAAGTTGTTTGTGTGAAGCATGCATTATAAATACAGCCTTGAAGTTACTTTATAACAACAGTACCTATTTGAAATGACAAATTGTTAGATAAGTATCGGGTATTACCAATTAAGTAAATAAAGATCTTTATTTGTAAAACTAAATTACGAAAATTAAGAATATTATTAGCCAAGCCGTTGACAACAGATCACAATAAAATGGTTAAAAACAACACAATTTTACACTCCTGTAAAATAGCATAACGAATTGACTTTTTTCACCCGGAGTGTCGAAAGATGTCTTTGTTTTGGTCGAAATATGTCCCATTCTATGTTCCCGACTGATCGAGAATGTTGCCTGTTTGTAACTGTCATGTGTTGGCGAAATGTTAACTGTAAAGTTATCAGTTTAACTGTTAACACTGAATTTTAATTGTGGGCCTAACCATCAGATCATCCAATGGTATTCAGTTAGTACTTTAAACATTGTATCTAACATAAATACATTGAAAAAGCACGACAAACAGACAAAGTATCTTTCAATGTTTACTTTGTTGCGGAGGGACAGTTTCGCTGCACTCAAATTGAATGAGTTGAAGAAATGACGTCATACGGATGTGGTCTTGCAATCATGGAAATGGAATAAAAAGTCATAGAATTATCTAGAAGTTATTTAGATCTTAGCACACTTCGTTTGTTTTTAACAATCTTGATCGCTTTAAAAACAATTTTTTAAGTTGTGAAAAGTCAAGTCAATAGGAAAGATTGATAAATTTGTGATTCGTAAACTATTTCAGTTACATAACTTGGGGTATCCGATAAACGAAATATCTAAGACTAGCTGTTCTCGTGCGACTTCATCCGCATAAAACTATAAAAACTTAATTTTATTGTTTACATTTGTCAAATTATCAATTGCAAATGTCAACATGACATGACATGACAACCTTAGCAATCTTGCTTTCTTGATGTTGGCAACAACTTATAGTCTCTTTCCTACATTAGGGTTTTTATTCAAAATATTTACTCCTAAGTTTAACGGCGTGAAAATATGTAGCCTAAAGCGTAGGGCGGCGTATAAAATATGTAGCCTAAGTAGCGGCGTGTAAATATGTAGCCTAAGCCGTAAGTGTAGGGCTTTTTATTAAAAAAAGAATTATTCAAGATTAATTGCTGACATCTTAAGCAACAAAGAAGTGTGTATTTACGCTTTATTATAATAGTATAGAAGTATAGATATAGAAATGTGTTCCCAATGTACATAAGCTAGAATTGATTTACTTAACGCATAATAAATACGTCTTTTCACATGCGATGCGAAAATGTTCCTTATTAAAATAGTATTTACTCAGAGATAGCATTACATTTTCCACTGCCTTTGTCTAAGGGAGAAAACTTTCCGAGTGCTATATGCTAATGAGTTAGCGACCAACATCTATTCGAATACGTTACATGATAAACGCTGTAATTAAATTGTTGTAAACAGCAGTCTCTGTAAATATCTATGTAACATACAGGATAAATCTAGTGTTTACATATACTGTATGAAAATTCTACGTAAGGCAGAAATCAAGGTATTTCTTTTTGAAAATTATTATTTTTTTATTATTTGTTAAGCTAGCGCTTGACCACGATCCCACCTGAAGGAGGTGACGATGCAGTCGAAAGATGGTACGAGCTAGCTTAATAGGTAGTTGTTCACTGTCCTTTTGAAGGCCCCCACGTCATATTTCATTTTCGTAATTATTTTAACTGGATATGTCCATTTTATGAAGTTTTTTTTTATAGATTTATCAATATTTCATCGTATCTTAATCATATAAATATTATAAATGCGAAAGTTACGATGGATGGATGAATGTTTGTTAGTTTGTAGCCTAAACGGCTGAACGGATCTCGATGAAATTTGGCACAGATGTTGAGTATGGTCTGGAAGAACACATAGGATATTTAGTATTTTTTTAATTTCACGCTGATAGAGTCGCTGGAGAAAGCTAGTTTCAAATAATTTTAATGTCGAGATTCGATCCCATAAATGTTTCATCGGTAGTCAGTACAGTACGGATAGCTAATAGGTTATTCGCTTTCGCCTAAGTCGGAGCCAATTTTAGAATAATATAAGACCTAAATAATGAGTCCATAGTTTTAAGTTTTTATAAATTACTAGCTGTTGCTCGCGACTCCGTCCGCGTGGAATTAAAAAAAAAACAAAAGTGAGTAGCCTATGTGTTCAGACTATCCTCTACATTTGTACCAAATTTCACCGAAATCCGTTCAGACGTTTAGGCTACAAACTCTAACAAACATCTATCCATTCATACATCCATCCATCTAAACTTTCGCATTTATAATATTAGACAGTGCTTCTATCGCTATGTAGGTTCTGTAAATAATGCATGTATCTAGAACTATGTATAATGTATAAGTTGGTGTATGATATTTAATTGGCCAATGTGAGAAGCGTTGACGGCCACGTGACCGCGATAAGTTTATCGCGGGACCATCGCCACCGCGACGTCGACGCGACGGTGCTTGTGTGTTACCAACCTTATCTCCTGTTTTGTTTTTTTACCTTTGTGTTTCTGTGGTTTCATTTGATAGATTCAAAACGGCCAATTTAAATTAGCTAGTAGTCTTGTTTTCTGATCTCAGATGATGATATTTTCGCTGGTAAATATTCCGTTACTGAACGTCATCGTTCATCAGAATAATTATCTAATAATTGCTCGAATGATCTTGAATGACCGTCCACTGTCGGATCTATTTGAAGTCTTAGTAAATAAGTGGATTTCGTTATGCTTTTTCCTTACATCTTTTAAAGAGTCATTCATTGAAGGGTTGTCCGTACCTTCATATCAGCGTAGAAATTCAAAGATATGTGTGAAGTCAACCAACCCGTATTTGGCCAGCGTGGTTGACTATGGCCTAGTCATCCTAACTTAGGATAGACCTCCAGCCCCTCGGTGGGGACGTATAGTGAGCTGGCGTTGATGTGTTGCCTTTCTATGATTTTCAGATGAGAGGATACAGAGAACTACCTTTCTTATAAATCGTCTACCATTTTCCTGTCAGTGGAGTATTTTATTCTAGTAGAATCAAACATTCAGCGGATTGCCTAGTACTATTTAACCCAACGCATTTCATAGGAAAATCCTGCTGATATGCTTATAACGTATTTTTCTACTAGTTTTCATGTTTACGAAATTCTTAAACATGACCTTACTATTGTTTACTTCATTATACGTATACATATTAGTATATTTTGTTAGCAGTCATTAACACTTAGCGTGTATCATTCCAGTAGGTTCATAACTTACGGTTTATCGGAGGCGTGGTTATTGCGTTGGTATTGTCCTACTTGAACATGGATAAAAATATTATACACAACAGGAAAACTTTATATTAAATTCGCCTATTCACTCGGGCGTCCAAGACTTTTCTCG